GGCAGGAGTAAAAACGAAATGTTATGTACTGAAGTTTAATCAAAATTTCTAGAAGCACCCTCACAATTATATATATATATATATATATATATATATATATATATATATATATATATATATATATATATATATATATATATATACATATATATATATATATATATATATATATATATATATATATATATATATATATATATATATATATATATGTATACACACACACACACACACACACACACACACACATATATATTCACACATGTATGTTCACACACACACGCACACACACACACACACACACACACACACACACACACACACACACACATACACACACACACACACACACACACACACACACACACACACACACATATATATATATATATATATATATATATATATATATATATATATATATATATATATTCACACATTCACACATGCATGTTCATACACAAACACACACACACATACACACACACACACACACACACACACACACACACACACACACACACACACACACACACAACACACACGCATACACACACACACACACACACACACACACACACACACACACACACACACATATATATATATATATATATATATATATATATATATATATATATATTCATATATATTCATATACATATATATGTGTGTGTGTGTGTGTGTGGGTATGTGTCTGTGTTTGTCCAAGTATTTCTTGTATAGTCTATCGTACTCGTATTACCTATATTGACAGAACCTGAATATGTTCGGGAGGGTTTTCCAACCATTGCACAGAGCACCAAACTAAAAACAATTGTGGGCCTCATTGTCATTGGCCTTGCCGGAGCAAAGCAAGACGGTAAATCAATGTCCGCCATCCCGGTAGTGCGTCTCGGTCAGGCAAGACGGGTGGAGTGACGCCGGGCTTAAGGCAGAGATGAGAGCGGGCTTTGGGGGGACAAAGCGAGGCTTACGGCAGAGATGGGACCGGGCGGGGGGGAGCGGGAGACGGATAGACAGCCAGCCAACCAGCTAGCCAGCCACGCACATGGGTGGAACGGCGCAAGGTGGAAGTGAAGACGCTGTTCCTTTTACTGAAGGCGTCAGGCAAGGATTGGAGTATTGGCCGAGGGATTTCGGAATGCTAGGATTGATGGGCAGGAGAACGGCGGAAGGATTTTTATTCGCCTGGGCAGAAGGATGGTCAAAAGATTTTTCTTGTTTGTCTTCATTTCTGGATGAAAATGACTGTGAAATCGCATCGGTCTTTTGAAAGAACCAACTGATCCGACATGATAAAAGATTAAACAACATGATTATTGCATCAGTTGTCTGACCTTAAATCAGGGCAATTGTACCATGTATACACGCAGGCACAAAACTATAGCTCGTCGTTCGAATGGTTTTACCTTTCTTTTCTCTTCCTCTTCCTCTTTCTTTTTTTCTTTTTTCTTTTTTTTTTCCCTTCTAGACTCGAGCTGAAATTGAATGTTGGTAACTCCTTTTTTTCTTGCTTTTCATTTATTAACACACGCACGCAGGAACACACACACACACACACATGATGGGAAGAGGTGTACGTGTGAGTGAGAACGCTCGTGTTCGTACCGTTTATGTTTGTGTGAAGGAGAGAAAAAGAAAGAAAAAATAAGATAGGCAGGAAGAAGAACAACAAAATGGAACTACAAAGAAAAAAGAGAAAGGGAAATGGAAAAACTGGAAAGATTGAAAATACAAAGAAGACTTTTCTGTAATTAAATCGAGTACATATTTATCTTTCAGACAGACTGAGTTAAAATGAATCTATGACGTCATAAAGAGTATTTAATTAAACCGGAAGACTGGCTTGCGCTATATTTCAATCGTCATTTAGGTAGGGTAAACCTGCAGTTGTGAGAGTCTAAAAAATGGGTGGAAATGAAGAATAGGAAAGAGGAGGGATATATGTGGTAGGAGAAAATGTGTGTGTGTGTGTGTATGTATACATATATGCACATTCATATAGTATATCTATGTACACACACATAAATCCGTATAACTGTATATATATATATATATATATATATATATATATATATATATATATATATATATATATATATATATATATATATTTATAATGAATACACACACACACACACACACACACACACACACACACACACACACACACACATATATATATATATATATATATATATATATATATATATATATATATATATATATATATATAATATACACATATATGCATATATACATATATGTGTGTTTATGTATATATCTATGTATTTATCTCTCAATCTCTCTATCCATTCATCTATCTGGACATATATGTATGTATGCATGTAAGTACATAACAACACATACGTGTGTATCTACCTTTACCTATATGCTGATATCTACAAAAATGAAGAAACATCAATATCTTCGCTTTAGTCCGTTTGTCTTTCTTTTACACTTGAACCATGAACCAAGAACCATGAGTTGACCATCTTTTTCGTATTCGTTGCTTCGAGTGACAAGTAATAATGTGAAAGCATCATCCAACGATCAATAAAGCAATCGTGTCACCCCGGCGTGCCCTATGGCAACGCAACTTGCAAGGAAATTTCAACATTGCAAAGTTTATAAGCCGAAGACGAATATCCTGTTGAACTTCTTTGACTTCCTTGCAAAATAGGAGTTGAAAAATGTCTTCAAAACGTCTACCCTTGAATGTTTTCCTAATCGGATTTATTTTTTTTTATTGCTAGAAAATGAGATAGACAAAGTCCTTCAACTTCTCTAGTCTAATTTAACAAGCAATTAAAACCAAGTGTTGTTTGGATATTTAAAAAAAAATGAACTTTAGGTCTTAAGTCTCACTATTCATATTAAGATTTTATTTTCGGAATTTTGGTCCTCATGCTATCTCCTTCACTTAGCATCCTCTTGTCGCCCGGCTACCTCTAATACTTGAACCTATTCATTTAATTCCCCCTTGGCATAAATACATCAACCTCTTCCTGTTTAATTTCTTTAGCACCTAGCCTCCCCCCCCCCCTCCCCACCCTGTATAATATATATATATATATATATATATTATATATATATATATTATATATATATATATTATATATATATATATAATATATATATATATATATTATATATATATATATATTATATATATATATATTATATATATATATATTATATATATATATATAATATATATATATATATATATAATATATATATATATATTATATATATATATATAATATATATATATATATTATATATATATATATATATATTATATATATATATATAATATATATATATATATATTATCATATGTAATATATATATATATATATATATATATATATATATATATATATATATATATATATATAATATATATATATATATATATATATATATTATATATATATATATACATATATATATATATATATATATATATATATATAATATATATATATATATAATATATATATATATATTATATATATATATATTATATATATATATATAATATATATATATATATATATATAATATATATATATATATTATATATATATATATTATATATATATATATATAATATATATATATATATAATATATATATATATATAATATATATATATATATTATATATATATATATATATAATATATATATATATAATATATATATATATATTATATATATATATATTATATATATATATATATTATATATATATATATTATATATATATATATATATATATATATATATATATATATATATATATATAATACACAGATATGCATATATACATATATGTGTGGTTATGTATATATCTATGTATTTATCTCTCATCTCTCTATCCATTCATCTATCTGGACATATATGTATGTATGCATGTAAGTACATAACAACACATACGTGTGTATCTACCTTTACCTATATGCTGATATCTACAAAAATGAAGAAACATCAATATCTTCGCTTTAGTCCGTTTGTCTTTCTTTTAACACTTGAACCATGAACCAAGAACCATGAGTTGACCATCTTTTTCGTATTCGTTGCTTCGAGTGACAAGTAATAATGTGAAAGCATCATCCAACGATCAATAAAGCAATCGTGTCACCCCGGCGTGCCCTATGGCAACGCAACTTGCAAGGAAATTTCAACATTGCAAAGTTTATAAGCCGAAGACGAATATCCTGTTGAACTTCTTTGACTTCCTTGCAAAATAGGAGTTGAAAAATGTCTTCAAAACGTCTACCCTTGAATGTTTTCCTAATCGGATTTATTATTTTTTTTATTGCTAGAAAATGAGATAGACAAAGTCCTTCAACTTCTCTAGTCTAATTTAACAAGCAATTAAAACCAAGTGTTGTCTGGATATTAAAAAAAAAAAAAAAAAAATATATGAACTTTAGGTCTTAAATCTCACTATTCATATTAAGATTTTATTTTTTCGGAATTTAGGTCCTCATGCTATCTCCTTCACTTAGCATCCTCTTGTCGCCCGGCTACCTCTAATACTTGAACCTATTCATTTAATTCCCCCTTGGCATAAATACATCAACCTCTTCCTGTTTAATTTCTTTAGCACCTAGCCTCCCCCCCCCCACTCCCCACCCTGTTGTATCTGCCCACGCCCCTCTTTTGCATTCTTATGTAACCTTCGATCCCTTGCAATCTACCCCTCCCCCCCCTTTTCCAAAAGTTACCCTCCTTGACCCCCCTCCCCCCCCCCCCAATCTTAGATCGCCTGCCCCCTATTCACGTTATATTCCGCAATGTACCCTTCCCCATCTCCTACCATCCTCATTTCAAACCCCTTCTCCCTTGACATCTGCACTCCCCTCCTCCCCCTTCCCCCCTTTCCCTATCGTTCGCACATCCCCCCCCCCACCCCTTTCCGATGGCCTTTTCATATTACTCCTAATGTCCCCTCCCTTTCCTTCCTCATACTGCCTCGCTCCC